CCACATAAAGCGGTTCGAGTACCAAGGAAAAATGGCAGGTAAAGGAAGCGGCTTGTGGAAGGAGGTGTTCCTCAGAAAACCCCAGACGGAAAAGCAAGTGGTGAAAGCAGGATGTGAGTGCTTCTCCTGAGGATTCTATTTTGCTGCTGCAAAAGCTACAAGACAATTTGATCTCTGGGTTTGCAGGCAGTGCTGTCAGGCAAACACATAAAACCAGCTCCTAGCTACATAAGTTGCTAGAAACTTCGGGAAGCTATTCCACTGCTGACAGTATAAACAAGATGAGCTTGATTCCAAAATATATGTGCATCGGGGCTGGGGATTTAGCTCAGCGGCATAAGCACCTGCCTTGCAAGCAGGCAGTCGTGACTTCGATCCCCGGTACCGATAAAAAGTAAAAAAAAATATATGTGCATATAGCAGATAGGATCATCTCTGGTGTTCTCTAATTGCATAAGCTCAGACAATTATCAAGCTCCTCCTGGATCACCAGATTAAAATGGACCTATAGGAGGTGCTAAGATAGCACAGTGGTACCTGGGTCCACGAGCTTATTTTGTTCCACTATTCTGGGGAGGGTGGCTGGCCATGCTCCTGTTTGGGCCGGAAGACAGCTGGGGATGTGTTGGTCACCAGATATGGAGTTCATGAACAGAAGCAAAATGCTGCCAAACACTTCTGTTTGCAAACGGAGGCCAGACGTATTCCTGAGCTGGGGTATTAGTGTATCCTCTTCTTAGTCAGCTCCCCCAACAGATAATTTGGACTCTGGGAGGTACAGGTAATACCTAAGATTGTGTGCCTCCTTGGATCCCTTCTCACTTCTACTGGTGTTTCCTTGTACAGTCCCTTGAAGATGTGACTATACTCTTATCTAAGCATTCAAAAATGCCCATGGTGGAAAAATTACTAATTCTCCTGTTGCAAATAGTTAAGCAAGTCCCTCTTTTTTAAGTTGTCCTGTACATAACAATACTTTTTATTTTTTATATGTTTTTCAAATGTATATCCAATAATTCTACATTAAAGAAAAAGGTCTCAATAAACAATCTGAGCTATATCTGAGTGCAAAAGGTTTTCCAAGTTAGCAAGGTCCTGGGATCTCCAGAAGATCTAGTTATACGAAACATTGCCACTAAGACCAGTGAACAAATTCAAGTTGGAGTCCTTTCCAGACAGTTAACAAAAAGAAGCAAATCAGAACATATAAATCTAAAAGGCCAGAAGGGAGCTGAGTGGATGTCTAACTTCACAACTTGTTGTGAGGTTCGGAGCAGACAGCTGTTAATCGTGGCCCCATTCCCTGCCACCATTCAGAACTTGTGAGCATGGTATCAATTTCCAGCTGAAAGAACATTTGGACAGACTGTGTATTTTGTCCATGAAGGCACAATTTCACACTGCTGATAAGATGCGTATCTAGGAAGGGTACCGAAATTGTCCTATCCCTGGGACACCATTTGAAAGATGTTTCAGGTTCCTGAAAAAAAGAGTTGAAACAGGGAAGCTGGGGGCGTTGATGGAAGACCAGGCAGCTGGAGGCTGCACAGAAGCGAAGCTCTTTGGCCTGAAGGGCATTCTGCACAGAGGACGCTGTAAGCCTGGCGGAGAAGCGAGTTTCCACCGAGAAAGAAGGTGATCAGAACACCACAGCTGCCAGGGTTCACCATAGCCAGGGGCCGAAGGCTGCAGACTAATAACTAATTAACTTTCTTTTTTTTTTAATTTTATTTAAGAGGAAAAAGAGAAAAACACAAAACAAAACAAAGTGGTGTAAGGTTACACATAATACAGAACTACAAAAAAAACATAACAGTAAGAAATCACCTATTAATAGATTACATGTTATCATCTTGGAAATAGTTGCTCACATCACAGTATCAAAGAATACAAAGTGGACATTCAAACAGAGAGACTGCAAACAGCTGTGTTCAATGATCCAAAAACATTAATATAGTCAGCTATTTAACACCCCTAAACACACTTGCTGTTATATCCGTTAGAGCTCTTTTTTCCCCCTCTCTTTTTTACAACAAAATTTACACATTTTGGATTTTATTACTCCTTAGTTCTTATTACTTTTTTGGGAGGGAGAGAATAAAGTCAAATATGGCAAAACAAAGCTGTCAGTCAAACCAAGGATAGACATAGCACGTGATGTAGAACAGAGTACACGGTTATCAACAATGGTTATATAATTAACTTTCAAAGACAATGAGAAGAGAAGGAAGGAGGAAAGGGAAACAGTTACTGACCGCACAGAACTATCAGAGTAGGAGAAGAAACACTGCCAAGATCTCTTATCTACCTCAAAAGAACAATTGTGCGATAACTAGATAATCCTACCTTTAACTGATATAGGCTAAATTTATATCTTTATACAGTATAATGGTTCCCCATAAATATGTGTTAAGTCTCCATTCGTGGAGGGGTTTGCTTAAAAACAAACTTTTTCTTTTAAAAACTTATGCTGTTGGGAAGATAGAATGGACGTTCTTTTTCCTACTTATCCAACTAAAACCCAGAGGCTATATATATATACATAAAACAGGATTAAAAGATGAACATGAGGATGCCGACTGGCGGGGGCCTCTGCACCCGGTGACCAGCAGGACAGTCCTCCCTGGAGTGGTTTGTTTTCTTGCTGTGTATGAGCTAAAGAAGCCAGGCAACCCAGAAAAGCAAACACAAAGTCAGCAAGTAAGTAAACAGCCCCAAGACAAACTCAGTCTCTGGCTAAAAGACAAGGCAAGGGTCCCCGTGGAGAGCGCAGGTCTGACAGCGACTGTACCCGGAACACCCCAGCTGAAGTTGAGCCAGGAAGCCTGCAGGGCAGGACGGGGTGCCAGCAGTCCTCTGCCCCAGTGCAACCCCAGGTAAAGTCCTTCCTTAAAAAAGGCACGTTGATTTGAAGCCCTGTATTGCTCCTACCATCTTGTTTTGACTGATTTTACTCTGTTCTGTTTTGTTTGATAGTACCAAATTTGAGGGTAGAGGCAACTACTTTAAAGACAATAAGATTCTATGACGCCCATTCTGGGTTTGACTATTATCTTCTTTGGAAGTCCTGTAATGTCTCCAATGTTTCAGTTTTATTGGTTTTGTTCTGTACTGTTTTGTTCAACTTTATTATAAGTGATGATATGGGCATTTTTTTTAATATAGCAAGGCGCATTATGGTAACCATTGTTGATCACCTTGTATTCTGTTTTTACAGTATGTATTATGTCCATCCTTTTGATTTGACTGACTTTGTTTTGTTTTGTCACATTTGGTTTTATTCTCTTCAAAAAAAAAAAGTAATAAGAACTGTGGGAGTAATAAAACCCAAAAATGTGTAATTGTTATTGTAAAAAAGAAAGGAAAAGAAAGTGCTTTAAAGGATATAACTGCATGTATATTTAAGTGTATAAGATAGATAACCATATTACTGAGTTTTGTTGGATCATTGAACAGGACTATTTGTAGTCCCACTGTTTGAGTGTCCTCTTTGGATTCTTTAATTTTGTAACTTGAACAACTATTTCTAAGATGACAATATGTAATCTATTAAGTAGTGATTTCTTAATGTTTATTTTTTTGAAATTCTGTATAACTTGTACCCTTTTTCTGTTTTGTTTTTTTTCTCTCTAAATACAATTTTTTAAAAAGCAAGTGACAAGTCATCTGAAATACAGCATTTTAACACCTCTCAGAATTAACAAAATTGAGTTTGTCACTAAAAATGTCCCAGAAAAGCAAATCTCTACAACAGGTGACTCTAACAGATAATTTAACCAAATGTTTAAAGTATTAAAACCCATACTGTACAATCCCTTCCAACAAACAGGACAGAACACTCCCTGATTTATGAAGCCACTATTCCTCTGATGTCACAAGAATACCAAAAACCAACAAAACTACACCCTAATACCTGTGGTGAACATCAATACAAAAATCATTAAAGTATCACCAAGTAGAAGCTGGCCTTTACTCTAAGGCAATTCACAGTTAATTTAGTCTACTATATGAATGAGCTGATGAAAAAGCAGTGTAACCTCAGTCAGCGTGGAAAAAGCATCTGACCAAATTAAATAGCCATTCATTCTAAAAGTCTCTTCAAACTCAAATGAGGGCCTGAGGGCTGGGGATGCAGCTCAGAGGCACAGCGTCTGCCTGGTTAGTGTGAGGTCATGAGGTTGCTCCCTGGCAGAGAGGGACAGAGAGAGAGAGAGAGAGAGAGAGAGAGAGAGAGAGAGAGAGAGACAGAGACAGAGACAGAGACAGAGACAGAGACAGAGACAGACAGAGAGAGAGACAGAGAGAGATAGAGAGAGACACAGAGAGAGAGAGAGAGACAGAGACAGAGACAGACAGAGAGAGAGAGACAGAGAGAGAGAGAGAGACAGAGAGAGAGAGAGAGACAGAGAGAGAGAGAGACAGAGAGAGAGAGACAGAGAGAGAGGAGGGGAAGATGGAGGGTGAGGAAAGAATAGACAAGAAAAGGAAAAAAGAGTAAAAGAAACAAGGAAACAAAGCTTTTATAAATGAAGAGGGGAAGGGGGTAAGATATGTCATGTCCAGGTACAAATTCCCTATAAAGAATGCTGCTAGTATGTATATCAAAATTTACCCAAAATTTATAAGTAGAAAAACAGGAGTACAGAGTAACTTCCTCAGCTTCACAAAAAGCATCGAAAAAAGATCATCAAGCAGCTGTCTCAAAGCTTCCCCCAAAACTAGGCACAAAGCAGAGGTATCAATACTTCACTCTCTTCTGCAACTTACGGCTTGAGATTTTGCTTGAATTCTAGCCGGCATCACAGGAAAAGACAGTGAAATAGATACAAGCCAGAGAGAAAGACATGAAACTATTCCTATTAGGAGATGCCATGAATGTGTACATCTTAAAATGCTAAGGAGTATATAAAAAATTAAAAACATGAATTGAGCTCACTAAGATTACAAGGTTCAAGATAAGCATATAAAAATCAATTCTATTTCTGTATACATATCAATGAATATATTATGTCAACACTAAAGTGAAAAGGTAATACTATTTCTCATCTCTTAAAAATCATGCAATGTTTAGGTGCAAATCTAACAAAACCTCAAAAGATTTTTATGCTGAGAACTATAAGACATTGCTTCAAAAAATTACCAAATGTCTAAGAACATGACAGGGCATATTATGTTAACTGATTAGAAGATTCCACGCAGCGTAAATGTCAAATTTCCCTCAAATCGATACATAGGCTTGATGCAATCCTAATCAGATTTTTACCAGCATTTTTCTAGATACCCACAAAGTTGCTCTAAATTTATATAGAAAGTCCCAGGCACTAAATACCTAAAACAATTTTGAAAAGAATAAACAGAAAACAGTCTCCAATTTAAAGCCTTGTGTGAAGCTGAAGTAGTTAATATACCTGGTTTGTGGGAGAGTAAACTAGAACAACTTCTATGGAAATTACTACAAAGCATCACCAAAAACTAACACTAAAAAATCTCACTCAGCCCAGCTCTTCCCTTTCCAGGAATCTTCATGAAAGACTTACAGTCACCATATTACAGTAATAGATGCGCATCCGTATTCATCACAGCGGAGTATAAGAGCTAAATTTTGAAAGCAGACTATACCCATCAATAGATGAATGGTCTAAAAATATGGCAGATATACAAAATGGAATAGCACTCAGCCATAAAGAAGGAGAAACGGGAATCATTTGTAGGAAACTGGATGTACCGTGAAACCATAACTCCATGTGAAATAAATCACACAAAATGTTAAATTCCTACGCTTGATTTTATATGAGAAATCCAAAGTATAAATACTTTAAAGAGCAAAATAAAAAGTAGACTGTAGGAGAGACAGGTAGGATTTTTATAGATGGAAAAGGAATCAAGGGATTCAAGGAAAAGAGAGGGAGAAGGGACAGGCGAGTACACAGGGTTAATGGTTAGTGGGTGCGCAAGCCGAGTCCCCAGGAATGTGCTCATTAGGCAGTGCAAGCATGCACTAAAAACATTAAAAAGTGAGCAAAGCAGTCAAATACCGTGTGGTACCGACAGACACAAAAACACAGAGATAAACCAGAAAATACAAAGCTCAGAAACACACCCACATGGCATGGTTAAACTTCTGAAAACATGCACAAAAGCAGTTTACTGGAGAGAAAATAGGTATTTCAAAAAATGTATCAAGCAACATGCACAAGTATGGGCAAAATATGAACCTCAGTGCTAAAAAATTAAGAAGTATCATGAATTTGATCTTAAATCTAAAACTTAGGAAAAGCAAAGAAAAATTTTGGATTTAAGATCACACAATAATTTATTTTATTTAAAGACAGAAGCATTGTCATAAAATCAGAAGTCAATAAATTGAACCGCTTTTGTTTTCTGGGTTTTTGTTTGTTTGTTTTTTGTTTTGATTTTTTTTTTTTTTTTTTTTTTTTGCCTTTTTGAGACAGAGTCTCACTCCGCAGTTCAGACTGGACTTGAACCCACTTTGTAGCCAAGGCTGGCCTCAAACTCACAGCAATCCTCAAGCTTAGCCTCTTGAGTGCTGGGATTACAGGTGTGTCCCAGCATACCAGCCTAAATTAAACCTCTTTAAAATTTAAATATTTTTTCTAGAACAGACTCTCTCGAGGTGGTAAGATGGTAAGCTATGGACTAGGGGAAAGTGTTTGCAAACAAAATAACACACAAAGGACTTGTATCTAGAGTACACACAGAACTTTAAAAACTGAAAAGTAAAATACACGCAGTCCTATTAGAACATAAGCAAAAGATATTAAGAGATATTTCACTGAAAAAGATATTCGGGTTAGGAATAAACCCATGGGAAAAGCTTAGCATCATTACCCATTTCAGTTCATAAAACCAAAGTGAAATATCACCATGCACCAGCTATGACCAAGTCAATGGTCACATGTCCAAGTAAAACCAGTGATAATACAAAATGCAGAAAATATATCACTCATGCACTTCTGGTGGAAATAAAAATGGTTCTATTAATTGCATTCTGTTTTCCGTAAGTCTCTAGGACGGATCCAGGAGTGGGAGTCGAGCACGGAATTCTCCCACTTATACAGAGCTTCCTGCCTTACACACACACATTCAGAATCGAATCGTACAAGAACTGCAATAATGGACTATGCCGAAGGTTTTCCTGATCTTTATTTTTTTCACAGGTGTACTCAGATCAAATATATACAACAATTATTCTTCCTATTTCCCCCATTATCTCTCGCCTTTTATCTCTCCTCACTGATTCCAATGTTTCCTTTTCGGAAGCCAAGAAAGGGATGAGAAAAGGAGACAGTTGTGGGGGACCGATGCCTCGCGTGGATGGACAGACACAGGAAAGACCACACAGTAAGGGGAGCCCAGGCCCCAGCTCCCACAGAGGGGACAGAGGCCAGCGGGCAGGCAGCGTGGTTCCCAGCTCCAGGGATTTCTCCTCTGTGCAGCGTCTCCTTCAGCAGTAACTGAGGGCCCGGGATCTTCCTGGACCAGCGGGATGAGCAGTGCAGCCACTGTCCACAAAAGCCCCATAATGAACTTGCAGCCAAAAATTAAGTAAGTGCATTCTGAGGATCCGATATCGGGGGGCAGAAATGAATCTCTTCTCCTACTTATCAAGAAAACTTTGGCTTTGGTGTTTTCTCCAAACTAGTTTACCAGCATCTGTTACAGAGAGCAGCCAGGCATCTCAGTGACAGCATCATCCTAAATGAGTAAGAAACGTGCAAATCAGCTCAAGGAGTCAGCGTTCAACACTGATTATCAGCTCTGCACTCAGACTGCCTTCCGGAGTCGCCAAGCTCCCTCACAAGTGTCCCCGCAGTATTCACGCGATGGGCGAGCTCTGGAGCAGCTCTAGCTATTACATCTGCACAGCGTTTATGAGCCTCACTTTCTGAATACATTACCAAGATATAAACATAAAACCATTCCTACCCGTGACTCACAAAATTATGGACCTAGATCCAACTGTCTGCTATAGAACTAGGATTTTCCAGACCAAAAGGTATTTCTAGTCACCTCCAGCATGTATCAGGATACTTTTTAATTGTGGAGGAGAAACAAAAGAAATTTCTATTTTTTTTCCTTACTATTTAACATTGTGCTAAAAATCTCTACCAGAGAAATCAGGCAAGAAAAAAGAAACAAAAAGCATCCTAACTAGGCTGGGGATTTAGCTCAGCAGCATAAGCACCTGCCTTGCAAGCAGGCGGTCGTGAGTTCGATCCCTGGTACCGATAAAAATGAAAAAGACAAAAAAAAAAGCATCCTAACTGGAAAGGAAGAAATGAAATTACCTCTGTTTATGGACAATGTGATGGTATATATAGAATATTATATGCCAAGATTGCAGGCGCACAACTGTTAGAACTAAATATGCAAAACAGACAGACAAGTATGATTTGGGTTTCCATACACTAACAGTTAACAACTCAGCAAGGGAGTTTTTAAAACCAATTCCATTTACAAAAAGATTAAAAAGGATAAATAGGCGAAGCAGAGGGAGAAACTCGGAAGTGAAGAGATGCATATGGTGAGCTCTACGCAAAGCCCCCCAAGGCACTGGGGAGCCAGGCATTGTGGGACACGCCTATACTCCCAGCACGAGGGAGGCTGAGGCAGGGGGATGGCAATGGCCATCTAGTAGCTAAGACTAGAATAAAAATTAAAAGGCCTAGGGAGCTTTCTCGGTGTCAAGGTCCTGGCTTCAGTTCCGAGTACCAGGGAAAAGGCACCCAGCCATGGTTCTCTCAGCCCAGGGCTCTCTGCACGCAGAGCCTTGGTTCTGACATCTGAATCTCCAGCCCTTCTAGATCCGCTCGCAGGAGCATCCTCAGGTTCCGTTTGTGTCCAGCAGAGCAGTAATGTCCTCACTCCCTTTCCTTCTCCCAGCCCTGAGGCACCGCGGGTTTTGCTGCTGTGGTTGTTACTCTGGTTTGTTTGGTTGTTACTCTGGTCTGCTTGGGGCTCTCATACCCAGCAGCAGAGGAAGACAATTTCAGGTGCCCTGAGGCTACCCCTCTGGTCCAGAACAAAAGCAAAGCTTTCCAAACCAAGTTTTCATACACAGTGTTGCATTGGAAGCGACAGCTGTGTAACTGCGTTCTCTAGCACGGTTTACTCCAATTGCACTTCTTAAATAAAACTTGCATTTTAGCTACGGAAATAGATTTCCTTCCTGAACGACTCGTTCTCCTAGAAATAAGTGTTGAGTCGGATGTGCGACAATGCATCCCCCAAAGGAAATGTGTACCATCAGCACCACCTCCCTATTCGTAGTGGGCCCGTGCCCTGTGCTGGCAGAGCTGCTTTAGCCCAGGCATTGGCGATGAACAGGAAGACACTGAGAAGAACACACAGATCTGAGAAACGAGAATTACCCGTGGTGCCACTTGAAGTCCTTTCCCTCGCAGGAAAATGCAATTTCAGATAGTGCCATGTACTCAGACAGAGAGTTCCGTCCGCAACTTTGCAGGGACCTAGAAGTAAGCATATTTTAAAGTCATTAGATTGTAAAAAAGCAATTTTTACCCCAAAGTTGTCCCTACTTTCAATTTCCTAACCAAAAAAGAAATTTTTGCTTTTGTTGCTTGATAATGAACGAAAGCCACTCGGTGAATGTTGTCCTGCAGCTCATACTGTAGTAAGCACTTTACATAAGTTTTATCCTGAAAACACTGTTAAGTGGAAGGGGTGCTGACCCTCAGAAAGCGGACCGGAAATCGGGAGCGGGGACTTGAGTGTGACTCTTAGATCGAATGCCGGTGAAGGTCAGGACTTGGTCTGGGATCAAGGTCCGACGATTGCAAACAAGGTGCGTAGCCTGCTCATGGAGGACCAGGTGACAGCCTGCAGCCTGCAGCTTGCCACCACGGGCAGTGGGGCTGCCATGGGGCAGGTAGGGCTCCTGGTGATGCGAAGGAGGAAAATCATTAAGGTCACAGTTCAGACAAAGCCAGAGAGAGCGGGTATGCAGACCAGGTGGGGAAGGATGCACTGGGTCAAAGCCAAGTCTCCGAACGTGCCGTAGACGTGAACAGGTCACGGTTAAATGGGGGCTGTTCTCTGACCAGCTGTGTTGTAGTCGGGTTGTACACAGAGAAGGATTAGGACATGGAGTTTATAATATTTTTATAATGGTCACCAGGAGTTAACACAGGAAAATGCAGGAAATCTATCCGCAACACCAAAAACATAGATTATTTAGTCAAGAGCCTAAACCCCACATCAATGTCCCACATGAGTCCAGATAAAACCCCAGAGCTCAGGACAGTGCCTCACATGAGTCCAACTGGATGCCCAGAGCCCACAAGAAGGACTCACGTCAATCTCTTTTACGGATCAGAGCCGGGAAGACCCATGGGTCAGTGGTGGAAGTCAGAAAGTCTATGCCAGCAGGATGAAAGAGCTGTGCTGGTGGGATGAGGGTTCTATGCTGGAGCTGAGAAGTCACACTCACAACAAAGACCAGGGCTGTCCTGAAAGGCACCACCGCCATCCTCAGCAACACGGAGGGTGCCAGGAAACAGCGTGACGAGTTCATCCTGGAGACCAAGCAGCACATGTCTTTCCCTCCGGAGCCAGGAAGCAATGCTCGATGTGAGGACCAAAGCTTCTCCGGGAGAACCAACAGCTCAGACAGCAATTTATAGGAGAACCTACAATGCCTCCTTAATGCCTCAACCCTCAACACCTCCCTTCTTCTCCACCTATTTAGCCTGGCAACTTTTCTCAGGTGGAGCATCTTCCTAATGCCATGCTGATGTAATCCAGCTGGCGTTAAGTTGACCACCAGTTCTTAATCCATAACAAGCTGCTTGGGCATCCAGGTACCAAGGCTAATATAAAGAATATGGTACCTTATGGAGTGGAAATGACTCTTAATAAAACAGCAGTATCACCACTGGGCATCGAAGCAGGCTGCTTCTGAACTCAGCAAATGCACAGGAAGCTCTATAAACCAGGATGTGTACAAATTACTGTCATTACTAATTATGGCTCAGAAATATGCTGCTTATTAAGAAGCTATTAGAAGCTAACATCAAATCTACCATGCACGGAAGCTTCAATAAACACCTTGTCTTCAAGATGTTCAAAATGTGCCTAACATACTCCTATAAAAATTTTAAATATACTTTCTATAAAAACAGTATACCCTGAGAGTAAAAATTAAAGATTATTAAAATCAAAGAATTCTGACAATAAATGACCATTAACAGTTGGTAAATGGTTAAGAAAAATTATATAATTCTATTCTTGCTACATAATTTAAATAAGTTGGAAATCAGTTTAAGTGAACCTCCTCTCAAAGTAAATGCTAACATAAAGCAAAAAAATTGAACTTCATTCAAATAAGAAATGAAACAAAATAGAAGCCTCTAAGGCTTGCCTGGACATTTAATCCATTTAGTTAGAGATGGAAGACATTAAATCTTTGAAAATTATATTTATAAAATAGAAGGTATACCACAGTTTTTAAAAAGCCATTATTATCTATAAGGATTTTGTAAGAATTTGCAGGAAATATTGAAGGAAAATCCAATTTTTTTCATACATCATTGCAGAGAATTAAGCAATAAATATTACCATTGAAATATATGGTTAAAATATACTATCTCCATCTGCTTAAAAGTTGTCAGTTGCTTTTACTGTGAGTGCACATTTTTCGGTTTATCTATCATCTCTCCACTATCTAGGTATTTATCAGCCTACATACCTATTTATCAATGAGGAAAAGAAATTTAGACATCCCAAAAGCTAAAATACAAAAATGTAAATTTCTTTACTTTCTATAAGTGATTTTAAAGGGTCTCAATTTGCCAAGCAAACAGTACTTATTTGACATAGTCTACGCAATTCTCGAATCCCAGATTTTGGGTGCTAGTGACAGACCTTCTGTTGAGATTGTTGGGTATTTAGATTTCCCCTAAAAATTCACCATGGGGTTAAAATCTAATAAAACACTAACAGTGAGTACAGAATGATGGCGTCGGCACCCTGCCTGATCAAACTCGGGCTCTTCAAGGTCTCCTCTTGCTGAGGGCTCAGTCCAGGCATGGAACTGCCCGCTCTCAGCACGATTCCATCAGCCTCCGTGTTCAGAGACTCGAGGGAACTCTAGCGTGGTTCCCCAGCTCAAGAATGCATTTTGCTTTGAAACTCTGTACCTTCATTTTTATTCTTTGCTAACATTGCTTTGTTTTTAAATAGAAAAAATTAAGCCCCGTAAGAATGAGTCTCTGGGACTACCTAATCCCCTCGCAGTTCCTGCCTGGGAAAGCTCACAGCTGCCAGAGCTTTGGCTGTTTGTCCCGACCTACACCTGAGGAAAGAGCTCCTCTCTGCCAGTCACGGCATGAGGGTAAAGCTTGACTTTGCAAAGCCCCCGCTAGCAAACCCCAATGGCCCACCCCACCGTGCCAACCATGCCAGTGGCACCCCTGACTTTTTTTTAAATTTTATTTAAAAGGAAAAAGAGAAAAAACAAAACAAAACAAAGCAGTGTAAGGGTACAAGTAATACAGAACTACAAAAAAAAAAAAAAAAAAAAAAAAAAAAAGAAATCACCGGTTAATAGATTACATATATTCATCTTAGAGATAGTTGCTCAAATCACAGTATCAAAGCATACAAAGTGGACACTCAAACAGTGAGACTGCAAACAGTTGTGTTCAATGATCTAACCAAAAACATTAATATGGTCAGCTATTTAACACCCCTAAACACACTTGCTGTTGTATCATTTAGAACTCTTTTTTTCCCCCTCTCTTTTTTACAACAAAATTTACACATTTGGGGTTTTATTACTCCTTAGTTCTTATTACTTTTTTGGGGGGGGGAGAATAAAGTCAAATATGGCAAAACAAAGCTGTCAGTCAAAACCAAGGATAGACATAGCACATGATGTAAAACAGAGTACAAGGTTATCAACAATGGTTATCAACAATGTCTCTTGTCTCCTTAAACAAAATTGTCTATTTCATTATGTATTATAAAGTTGAACAAAACAGTAGAGAACAAGACCAATAAAACTTAAGCATTGTAAACATTACAGGACTTCCAAAGGAGACAATAGTCAAACCAGAATGGGCATCTTAGTGAATCTTATTGCTTTCAAAGTAGTTGCCTATACCCTCAAACTTGATACTATCATACAGAATGGAACAGAGTCTAATCAGTCAAAACAAGATAGTGGGAGTATTACACGGCTTCAAAACAAGTTAATAGGAAATCAAAAAAGATACTATTATATACCCTGCTAAATTTTTTTAATTTTTCCCCTTAATTAAAAAAACATAAAAAATAACTAAATAATTTTTTAATGAATAAGGCAGAGATTGAGATAAAACAGGACATAACAATATAACAATACAGGTCAAAGCATAACTGTTTCAGCAACCTAGTGCTTCACCACCAAATAACCCAACTTAATAGTAGTTACCATAGTGTCTGTCTTTTTCCTTGAAATACTTGAATAAAACTTCATATACTATAGCTTCAAGTATTTCCATATCAAGAAGCCCAGAATAAAGCCTTTCCAATTAATAAGTGAAAACTTTATAAGGCTTCAAGGCCACATAAGGGGGAATCATGATTACCACATATTTTTATATATTTGAATCATTACTTACATTAGGGAAAATATTCGGTATTCATACATATGAGATTGATTTATTTCACTTATGAGTATGGTCTCAAGCTGCGCCCATTTATTGATAAATATCTCAATGTGATCCTTCTTTATAGCTGAATAATACTCCATTGTATAGAAATACAACAATTTTATCCATCCTTCGGTTGATGGACACTTGGGTTGTTTCCAAGATCTGGCGATCACAAATTGTGCTGCTATAAGCACAGGTGCACATATATCACTGTGGTATGATGCTTTCAATTCTTCTGGGAATATGCCTAGAAGTGGAATAGCTGGAATAAATGGGACTTCCAATCCCAGCTTTTTGAGAAATCTCCAGACTGACTGCCACAAAGGCTGCACCAGTCTACACTCCAACCAACAGTGTAGGAGAGTTCCTTTTTCCCCACAGCCTCTCCAGCATTTGTTGTTGTTGGTTTTCTTGACCCTGGCCATTCTTTCAGGAGTGAGATGGTATCTCAGTGTGGTTTTAATTTGCATTTCTCTAATGACTAATGATGATGAACATATTTTCATGTATTTATTTGCCATTTGCATTTCTTCATCTGAGAAGTGCATATTCATCTCAGATGCCCATTTTTGGACTGGATCTTTGAATTTTGGGGGTCTGAGTTTTTTTAATTCTTTATATGTTTTAGACAAGAGTCCCTTGTCTGAGAGAGAGTTCACTAAAATCTTTTCCCAGTTTGTGGGTTTTCTTTTTACCATGCTGGAGATTTGTTTTGACATGCAGAAACTTTTTAATAAGAAGTGGTCCCAGCTATTGATTCTGGGAAGTATTTCCCGTGCGGTTTGAGTCCTGTTCATGAATTCTCTACCTACTCCTATGTCTTCAAGGTTTCTACCCAATTTGTCTTCCAATAGATTTAGTGTTTCTGTTTTAATATTCAGATCGTTGACCCATTTAGATTTTAATTTAGTACATGGTGATAGACATGGGTCTAGCTTTAGTTTTCGGCAAATGGAGAGCCAGTTTTTCCAGCACCATTTATTAAAGAGACTGTCGTTCTTCCAGTGAACCTGCTTGGCTCCTTTATCAAAGATAAGGTGGTTGACTGTGTTCGTAGTTGTGGTTGTATCTTCTAATCTATTTCACTGATCTTCGGCTCTGTTTTGATTCCAATACCATGTTGATTTTACTACTGTTGCTTTGTAGTATAACTTCAAGTCAGGGATTGTGATGCCTCCTGCTTTGTCTTTGCTGCTTAGAATTGCCTTTGCGATTCTAGGTCTCTTCTGGTTCCACATGAAATTTAGGAGTGATTTCTCTAGATCTATAAGGTATGTTGATGGTATTTTTATTGGGTTTGCATTGAATCTGTATAACAGTTTTGGGAGAATGGCCATTTTCACAATGTTTGTTCTTCCTACCCATGAGCAAGGGATGTCTTTCCATTTTCTGAGATCATCTTCAACTTCTTTTTTCAGTGTATTATAATTTTCACTGTATAGATCTTTCACTTCTTTTGTAAGAGTAATTCTTAAATATTTCATCTTTTTTTTGCTTGCTAATGTGAAGAGTGCAGTTTCTCCTATTTCCCTCTCTGTGATTTTGTTGTTCGTGTATAGGAATGCTATTGATTTCTGAGTATTGATTTTGTATCCAGCCACATTACTGAATTCATTTATTGTATCTAAGAGTCTTTCAATGGAGTTTAGGGTGTCTTCTATGTAGAGTATCATGTCATCTGCAAACAATGATAATTTAACTTCTTCTTTTCCTATCTTTACCCCTTTTATTTCTCTCTCTTGCCTAATTGCTCTGGCTAGTACTTCCAGTACTATATTAAATAGGAATGGTAATAAAGAACATCCTTGTCTTGTGCCTGATTTTAAAGTAAAGGCTTTCAATTTTTGGCCATTTAGTATGATGCTGGCTGTTGGTTTGTCATAAATGGCCTTTATTATATTGAGGTAAAGACCATCTATTCCAATTTTCTGTAAAGTTCTTATCATGAATAAATGTTGGACCTTATCGAAGGCTTTTTCCGCATCTATAGAAATGATCATGTGATTC